GAACCGGCCCCGGGCTGGTGGCTGTCCTTAGGATCATGGAATTATTTAGGTGGGAAAAGCCCTCCGAGACCACGGAGTCCAACCATCCCCAGCACGCCAAGGCCACCACTGACCCGAGTGCCACATCCCCACGCCCTTAAATCCCTCCAGGGGTGGGGACTCCCCCCTGCCCTGGGCAGCTGTGCCAGGGCTGGACAGCCCTTCCTGTGAAGGAATTGTTCCCAGTATCCAATCTAATCCTGCACAGCCCCCTCCCCATCAGCTGGGCACTGGAGCGTGTGCCACACGAAGACCTCCAGCCTTCCCCAAAAGCAGGGATGAGGACAGGGACCAGGGATGGGAGTGACCTCCCAGTGAGGGTGGCCGGAGGCAAACCCTGCGGGTTGGGGGGGTGACAACACGCTCTGCCCCCCCTCTGCCCCCTCCCCAGGCGATGGAGAGCAAGCTGCTCATCGGGGGCAGGACCATCGTGGACCACACCAACGAGCAGCAGAAGATGCTGGAGCTGCGGCGGCAGGAGATCGCGGAGCAGGTACCGGCCGGGGGGTGACAGGGGTCACTCGGGTTTTTTTGGTGACAAGGTCAACTTGGGTTTGGCGGGGGCCGTTGTTCCCCTCTGGTCCGACCTTTTGCTGCAGAAACGCCTTTGGGAGCGGGTAGAGGAGTGTGCTTTGGACGATGGAGACGATGGGAGCTCTCCACTGTGCAGGGGTTTTCAAAACAAGAAGCTTTGAAGAAGGTGAGGTTGTGGCGGGCGGGGACAGGGATTTTTAAGGAGTCCCTCCCCAGGGCTCGCCGCAGCCCCAGTGTGGGGCTGAGGGTGCTGAGGGTGCTGTCCCCCCCAGCTCTATGCCAAGCTGCAGGCCGTGAAGGCCGAGATCCAGGACCAGCACGACGAGTACATCCGAGTGCGCCAGGACCTGGAGGAGGCCCAGAACGAGCAGACGAGGGAGCTGAAGCTCAAGTAGGTGGTTGTGAGGTGGTTTTGGGGCACCTGGGCCTGGGGTGTGCCGGGCTGAAGTGGGGTGTGCTGGGCAGAATTGGGGTGTGCAGGACAGAGCTGGGGTGTGCTGGGCAGAATCAGGGTGTGCTGGGCACAGTTGGGGTGTGCTGGGCAGAATTGGGGTGTGCAGGGAAGATCTGAGTGCACAAAGCAGAGCTGGGGGGCACAGGCCAGGCCTGGGGTGCTCACAGCAGAGTTGGGATGCACAGAGCATAGCTGAGGTGTGCTGGGCAGAATTGGGGTGTGCTGGGCAGAATCGGGATGTGCTGTGCAGAATTGGGGTGCTCAGGGCAGAGATGGGGTTTCCAGGTCAGAGTTGGGGTGCTCAGAGCTGGGCTGGGGGGCTCAGGGTGGGTGCAGAGCTGGAGGGAGCAGTCCCCCCATGCCAGGGACAGCTGAGCCCTTCCCACCTTTGCTGGCTGTGGCAGAAGGTGTTGGAACCCTGAGTGCCGGGCGAGCAGCACTCGGGGTGTCCAAAAGCTGCTGAGAAAGGGGAAAAGCAGAAAATATTCCAGCAGAAACGCCAGTGCAGCAGCGGCACCGGCTGGGGATGAACCCGGGGGTGGCAGCGGGGGCTGGGGGCATCTGGAGACCTGCTGTGCCCCAGTGCCATSCTCGGAGGGTGAGCGGCTCC